TTAAACAAAGAAATGATACTCTAGGGAATAACACGTGGTCTGAAAGTGTGCAACTGTTAAACAAAGAAATGATACTCTAGGGAATAACACGTTGTTTGAAATAGGAAAATATAATGCCAAAGCCAAAAAGGTTTATTCTCGACAAAAATGACTCGAGATTTAATGGTCTTCAACCCTAATGACGTTTCAAACCTCAACTACCACGACTCTTTTCAAAATCTCTTATACTCAAATGTTAAAACTTATTTGAGAATACCAAGACACTAGTGAAAAATAGCAATAACAAACAGTTGCGCGCGACAGTTGTAAGGAAAAATTGTACCATACATGCCATAAAGGTCCACGCCTAAAACCTGGCTTAAAATCTTATCCATTATAAAAAAAATTTAAATGGATAATGACTTTCTGCGTTTAATTTTCAGTCTTTCTTGCTGGAATCTTGCAGCCTCCTTTTTACAATCCACTTTACCCAAAGTACGTATTGCTTGAAGCTAATTTACTTTAGCAGTTATGGTTTAATTTAGCGTTTTTAAGATGAGTCGCATTTCTTAGACCAAGTGCAGACAAAAACCGCTAAAATAAAGCAAAACAAATGTCCTCAATGATAACTTAACCTCTTGGAACAAAGCCCACTTCCGAGATATGCTTATCTCGACACACAAAGGTTTCAGTACGAGGCTAAGTGTTAAAAAAATTCTTTCTTTTCTCCTGTCACGAATCACTAAGCATTATGCACGAAGGCTCACATTGAAACCTTTGTGTGTGAACAAACGAAGCATATCTTGGAAGTCGGCTACTTTTAAAACTTTTGACCGGAAAAATTCTGCATCGAAATTTTTTTTTTTACCGAAACTGCTCTTCGCTTTGTGCTCGGAAGTATTTTATAGTATCGACTCTTACTGCTTACTTATTGAAATGGTTTCATCATTGCTTCTTTGATTTTTCCCTCGTTTTCTCACAGGTATCTTAACTACGGTGGTATCGGTATGGTCATTGGTCACGAGATAACCCATGGCTTTGATGGCACTGGTAACTAATCACGTGGTTTAGAAAAGCCCGCGAAGAATAATTATCAGCGCGCTTTGTACGCATGCGCATATTTTTTTTCCACTCCAGTTATTTCCCATTCTTCTTTGTCGTGGATGTCAAGAAATGCCTCTTATCAAAGTGTCTTAAAGGATAAATTAAGAAAATCTCAATTGTACGTAAACACACGACTAGCGTTTTAGAACGCATCCCACATGGAAAGAAGTTCTCATATGAACTATGCCATCAGCGACGCCATTGCAACATCGGGTATGCTGGTCATAGCAAGGGGTTAATCATCTACGGTCTAGGAGCCGATTAACCTCTCCCTAAGGCTTCGGCCGAGCTTCCTGATCAGTCTGTAATTCCTCCCGGGATAGCGGTGTCGAAATCGCCAGCATAGCCGTAAGTCCATACGACGGTTCAGCACTGGATGTCTGGAAGTATGGTCCTGGTTAATCAGCCGATGAACTTTGAAGTAATTCAAGTTGAAATGAACAAAGAGACATTCAAAGGGTGAAAAAAACACACGCACACACACAAAAAAAACCCCACAGAAATGATCGTAATGGTTAACCTTTTTAGGGAGACTGTTCGATAAAGATGGGAATTACAAGACCTGGTGGTCAGATGAATCCAACCAAAACTTTCTCCAAAGGGCAAGCTGCCTTGTTAAACAGTACGACAAATTTTCACTTTTTGGCGTTAAGGTAACTACTACACGGTACGACATGCCGTAACATTGAAGGGCCTTCCCATAAAAATAATTATGGTATGAGTGGGAAACGTACGGTACTGACTTATAGCAAGTACACGGTACGACATGCCGTAACATTGAAGGGGCTTCCCATAAAAATAATTATGGTATGAGTGGGAAATGTACGGTACTGACTTACAGCACGTGCACAGTACGACATGCTGTAACATTGAAAGAGCTTCCTATAAGAATGCTTATCGTATGAGTGGAAAACATAGCGTACTGTCTCACAGCATGTACACGGTACATGCCGACACACGGCTTCCCAATCCCATAAGAATTATTTTTTTATGAGTGGGAATTGAAATGCTTTCCAAAGTCATTCTTTGAAACTGACTATATCACGTGACGGCAACACTGAAATGGTTTTCCATCGATTTCTAATAATAAATCGCTAACGGTTACCTATCAATATTTTTCTCAGCTTAATGGAAGTAATACCTTAAATGAAAATATCGCCGACAACGGAGGAATCAAAATTGCTTATTCGGTAAGCTTTAGTTTCCCATTATTTTCTTTTCCCATTTCTCAACTAATTTAATATTTTTCACAGTCATTTATAATTTTTTCCATTTCGTGCTTTTTAATTTTCTATTTTTCTAACATTTTATTTTTCTGTTTCTAAATTTTTCTATTTCATTTTCTACTTTTCATTTAAAATTTTTAAAAATATAAATTTTCTATTTTTTCTTTTCTCATTATTTTTTTAGGTATGTTTTAGGAACCCCCCCCTCCCCCCATAATTTTCGTACCATATTAAAACTACAAACTGTTATAGTGCAATGACATGTTAATAAACCTATTATTATTATTTATTATCATTATCAGGGATACAAGTCCTGGGTGAAAGCCCACGGCATGGAAGGCGTTCTTCCTGGCTTAGGATTGACAGCAGACCAGCTTTTCTTTGTAGGATTTGCAAGGGTAGGCTATAAATATATGGTCTTTTCAGGGGCGGATCCAGGAATTTTAGAAGGGGGGTGGGGGTGCCTATTACAAAGGTCTTACCAGGAATCCGAGGATAAGGGGGGTGACTGTTACTAACGAAATACCCATAAATTTGAGCAAAAGGGGGGTGACTAGTCACCTATATTACCAACCCTGGATCCGCCCTTTGCTTTTAAAGGTGGAAAAATCCATGAAAATTTTTTTGAATCTCTTTTTTGAAAACCCAAACTTACTGTGGTTTTCAATATTCTACCAACTCAGACATTTCAACGGCTTGTTGCCAAATTGGTTTTTCTCTGCTGTCAGTCAAAAATATAAAAGATACCAACTGATCATTGTCGATTGATGGCAGCGAAAAAAATTTTTCAGCATGCAGCTTGTAACCACAAGTTTGCAGAATATATTGAAAACCTCAATCATGCTCATTTCAAATCTGGAAAGAAAAAAAGGGTTTCCTGAGGTCGTTTTAACGACATTCACATTTTCAACAAATTTTTGAAAAAAATGAAGCAAAAACCAACCATGTACGAAAAAAACAATATGACATAATGCAAAATATGAGGATTTTACACTCTTGAATTTCAAGCCTATCCCTAATGTATTTTTTCTTGTCTTTGTTAGCCTTGGTGTAGTATATACACCAAGAAGCCAGCACTCACACAGATTGAGCAAGATAGTCATTCAAACTCTAAGTTCAGGTAATGCACTTTAAGGGAGGGGATGGTGGGGAGGAATCAGTGAAGACAGAATCAGTAAGGGTAGGGAGGGAGAGGGTAGAGTGGATGGGGCGATTAAGGGAGGGGATGGTGGGGAGGAATCGGTGAAGACAGAATCAGTAAGGGTAGGGAGGGAGAGGCTAGAGTGGATGGGGTGATCAGGGGAGGGAATGGTGGGGAGGAATAGGTGAAGACAGAATCAGTAAGGGTAGGGAGGGAGAGGGTAGAGTGGATGGGGTGATTAAGGGAGGGGATGGTGGGGAGGAATCGGTGAAGACAGAATCAGTAAGGGTAGGGAGGGAGAGGCTAGAGGAAATAAGCGGATAATCAAAAGATGGAGGACAGGGAAAATAAGTGAATGGAATAACCAAAAGTGGAGGGGAGGAAAGAGAGAAGGATGGGATGACCAGATGGAGGAGATGGAAATGCATGGGGTTATTAAAAGGGAATAGGATGGAATAACCAGGGAAAGGGAAGAAAGAGATTGGGATTATATAACTAGTTGTTCTTAACTTTCATTCTTTCATTTCAGAGTCATAGGCACATTACAAAATTATCCAAAGTTTGCGGAAGCATTCAAATGTAAACCCAACTCTTACATGAACCCAGAACAGAAATGTTCAGTTTGGTGAGGCTGATTGACAAGATGTCAGCATAGTGTTACCCTATACTCCAGTCACATTAAAGAAGCTGCGTTAGTTTGTAACTGTTAAAGGTTTTATGTAGTAGTGTTTAATAAGCGAGCAGAAGTATTTTATCAGGATTTAAAAACACGAGGCATAGCCGAGTGTTTTAGACCTGATAATACACGATCTGCGAGTTTATTAAAAGGCTTAAAAAACTCATGATGTATGTTCTCATATTGTACAGAATGCTTTATGAAATGAACCAAGTTTGATAAAGAAAATCCAAGTTAAAGTTTATGCAAATGAAGACGAATCTATTAAGATATAAAACCTCCTTCATGGTCATGACTTCTATTGTGTTTTCCTCATGAATTATTCATGAGTTTTCTAAGTATAAAGATTGGTCGTTAGCTAACTTAAGGTAGTTATAACGATAATTCAATCTAGGGCAGTCAATTCTGATTTTCCATATTCTGAAAAAGCCAGACATTCCAACCACTTGTTGTGAAATTGTCTTTTACTGCCCCCAGTCAAGAACATTAAAGGTAACAAATAATTATTTTTGATTGACAGTAGCGAAAAACCAAATCACTGAGTTTGCAGAATATCAAAAACTGCAGTTTGAAAATTTCTGTTTAAGTCAAGTATACACAGTAATACATACATCAGGAGTTCCGCGCTACTGCTCTATGCGCATGCTCAAGAGGTCAAAAAGTAAGACCTTGGGTTGTGAAATTGGTCATTAGCTAACTTAAGTGTGTTTTGACGGTGATCCAATCTAGGATTACTTATGAAAATTCCTGTCTAAATTGAATATGTGCTGATATTGTTGTCCTGCAACTAGCTTGCCTGTATCTCTGGTTTTCACTCATTCCCAGGGGAGTGAAATAACAAGACACACCACCCATCTTGGTTGATATCATTCCCAAGGGAGTGAAATAACAAAAGACACACCACCCATCTTGGTTGATATCATTCCCAAG